CCCCCGGCCACGCGCTGATAAAGGCTGCGGCTGCCCGAGCCCCCGCGCCCGGGGAGGACAGGGCAGCAGGGCAGGCTCGGCTGCAGCGCGCGGGCTGGCATGACCATTTCTGCATGCCCGTGTGCAGTTTACTCTATGCAGTGGTTGTTGCTTCCCTGTAGAGGTCAGGGACGCCGCGCAGAAGGAGTTGCCTTCATTTTACCGTTCTTCTGAAGTCTGGTGCAAAACCAGACCGTGGCTGCCAGCTGCAGCCTGGCCTTACCCCTCCAGTCACACCCTGGCATGGGGAGGGCGGAACCATGGCCACTTAAAAACGATATGTGGGAAAGAGAGAGATTTCTATTATCTTCGCAAAAACACACAAGAATTGGAGGGCGTGGTGATAGCAAGTTTGCCAAGGCACCAACATGTGGCCAATTCTGAGTAGCTCGGTCCTCCTTTAGCTGCTCTTGTGAGTCCAAGAAACTCAGAGCTGGTCTACTACTTGCTTCTGCCATCTGGAAAAGGCAGTAAAGTATGGGGACAATGCCCATCTGTTGGAGCAGTGGAGCTCACAGCCCACCAGCAGACCCAAAGCTCAGCGGGGGTGCACTGGAACCAGCCCCACTCCCTGCCTGGGTGCTAGGCTGGGGTCACCACATGGAGCCCCGGGGTTGATGGGGCTGTAAGGGGGCCTCACGCAGTACTTAAAGACTTTGACACAGTTCTCTCCTGCGTCTGCCACGAAGAGGTGCCCGAAGGAGGAACAAGCCACGCCGGCAGGCCTCCGCAGCCCTGCGGACACCAGGCAGATGGGAGCCCCATGCTCTGGGAACAAGTGGACCATGCGGTGCTGCTCATCTGCCACCAGGATGCTGCCATCCCCATCAACACAGACCCCAGCTGGATTGCCAAACTGGTGTCCATATTTGCTGCTGAGGGAACAGAGGAGCTTACGGCTGCTCATGAAGACCTTCACGTCTCCGCACTCCTCGCTTACCACAAAGCCTCCGTTGGGTGCTGGACTGATGTAGCGAGGTCCCTGCAGGTTGGGGACTGAGTGGATATTGAGCGTCTTGAAGGCGTGGTCCAGAGCAAAGCTGTGGACTTGGCCTTGTGCGTAGTCTGCTACCAAGATCTTGCCCATGGAGTCTACACCAATACCCCTGGGGGAACCAAGCTTTCTGATCCTTATCCATTCCCCCTTGGACAGGCTGGTGTGAGGGTTGAAGATGCAGATGGCTCCATTCATCATGTCAGCTACAGCCACCATTCCTGTCCGAGTCACAGTCACATCTTCTGGCAAGAAAGTGCTGCTTTCTTTCCCCGTTTGCTGGCATGGCAGGGACTGCAGCGTTTGGCCTGTGCTGCTGAGGATGTGGACCCAGGGAGCACTCTCAGCTGTCACGTAGATGGAGCCATCCAGGGAGCAATGGATTCCATTTACTCCCCCGTAGCGGCTGCCGGTGGGGTTGGGGATCTGCCGGACGAGGTCATCCTGGCAATAGTGGAGGAGGTTCTTGATGTTGTCCAGGTCTCCGCACAGGCTTTTGGCCTTATCTGCCAGCTGGTGGACTTGGTACTGTGTCACCATGCCCATGCCACGCTGGTTGCTCAGCAGTGGGCTGGCTGTCTGGAGTGTGGTGATTGACTTCAGCTGGAGGGTGTAGATCGTTTTCAGAAGCTTCTCCTTTTGCTGGCTGGTCTGCAGACTGTAGTCCATGACAAATCTCTCGTCCCTGTTTGGGGGAAGCAGTAGGATTGTTACTGTCCCTGCCTGGTGCCACCTCTGGGGACATGCTCCGAGCTCGGGTGCTTGCTGTCTACCCAGGGTCAAGGTGTTGGTGCTAGTCTGGATTCACTCTGATGCGACAGAGACCAGATCGTAGCCCTGCCAGCTAATTACATGCCCAGGTTATAAAGACAAACAGAGACTATGGTGCAAAAATGAAAGAGTCAGCAAGCTGGATCTGCAGCTGGAGGAACCAGGCAAAAAGGTCCCTTGGCTTCAAGGACAGCTTGACTGGTGCTGGATCTGGCCTGAGGAGTTATGTGTAAAGCAGAGCCTTGTGTGCGAGCACATTGAATGGGATCTCCACCTCTCCAGTGTCTGAGATTAGTGGCTTCTCTCAGGCCTTTAACACTTCCTAACGCCTCATCTCTCCAAACCATGTTCAGTCCATGCTGTACATTTGAGACACTGAGGATGACTCTTCCTCTACTCCCACCTGGGTCAGATGTCACACTTGGCCAGCGTGTGTCTTTGCTAAGGGCAGTCCCCTCCCCATCCAAATAAAGTTATTCCTGAAACAGCCAACTTGTCAGGAAGAAGAAGGGAGCTACTGCTCTGAAGGACACATTCAACCTACACAATTTTTTCAGATGCAAGAGCCACCATAAGAACAACAGTTTCTTTTTTGCTCACTTTGTTTTAAAACCATAAGTGAGTCCCCCAAAAGGTGGAGATGACAGCCCAGCTCCGCTTTATGCTCTCCAGGGGCTGGCTGGAGCACGGCTTGTAGCACACAGCCGGGGGCTGGTAAGAGAAGTGTTAAGAGAAATGTGGCCCACGGCTTGGAGCAGCACAGCCGGGAGCTGGTAAGAGAAGTGTTAAGAGAAATGTGGCCTCAGTAAAGTTCCTGGAGAAGCAGAAGTTAACTTTGCTTTAAATGTGATTATAATTAGTATTATAATGGACACACTTGGCTGTTCTGAGTTGTTTGCAAGCCCCTCCTCCGCCTTTATCGCCCTGTGTCCCACGATTGCCGGGTGTCATGTGCTCTGTACTGCCTGCAAAAGTAACGCTTCCCCAACCCACAGCTGAAGGAAGCTGGGCTGGGCTAAGGCGTACTGGGTGCAAATTGTCCTTCCCATGTGCAAATACCACAGTTGACTAAAAATCATCCCCTGAATACTTGCAGAGCTATCAAATGCAAATACATGATGGTGGAGATGAGTGTGAATATGGAGGGAACCCAATTTCTGCTGGTTTTGGGACTTAGAAACAGCTCTGCCACCTTCTTCCCCAAAGTCTCTCCATGGAAGCAAGCCCTCCACTGCCTCCCTGTAACTGCTTGTTGGGGTCCTCCTTCAGAGCTGGACAGAGTTCAAGAAACTGGATTTTACAGATGGGGAAACTGAATCACCAGCCAAGGACCCAACATGCCACCCGCCGCACACCCAGCACCAGGAGCGTCCACTGCACTTCCCAGGCACTGGGCACCCAAAGCTGCCATCAGACCCTTGGTGATGTGTCCTGAGCCAAGCCTGAGCGGCTCATTTTGCAGGTCTAAGCCCAGAAGGAGGGCCCTGACCCTGTCCCCAGCACAGCTCAGGCCAACAACCACATGTGTGACCATGAGCCAAGCTCAGCATATCTTGTACCTTTGTCCTGATGTCCTGGGGGTTGCCTGTCCTTCCCTGGCAGCGCTGCCCTCCCACCGGCTCCGTCCTGCTCCCTCACCGGGCTCAGGGCAGCAGGGCTGAGGGATATTGTGTTGTTAGTGACGGGCGATTGCCCTTGAGTCTTGGTAAACACAAAACCTCCTGGTGCTGACAACCAGAAGCAGCGAGACAAGGGCTGGTATGTGCGGTTCTTGTTCCCTGCTGGTCTCATGCCCAGAGAGAAGGTGCCTTTCCTCCAGGATTAGGCCATGTCCCATCTACCTGCTCCTGCCAGAGGGAGGAGAAACCCCAAGGTGCCCCACTGCAGGGACTATTTGGGGCTTTTATGTAGAGGCACAGGGGCTGATTTGCTGCACCTCACCCTTAGCGTGAGACGCAGCTGCTGGAGTGGGGCAGGGACACTCACACCTTGAATCAGGACTCCTGCCTTATCTCACTGCTGCTTTGCTGCTTCCCCATCTGCTCCCAGCCTGGGCGTTGTGCAGTTGAGTGCCTCAGTCTCCCCACTTGCAAAAAGGAGATTGGTGATTTTTAAAATGTCAAGCTTTGAGGTCCAGCGATGGAAGAGACAGAACAGCCAGGACTCCAGGGCACAGCCCCCCTCTCCATCTCCATGCTGCTCGACCCTGGCTCCCCCGACCTGGGCAAGGCCGTGTTTGGAGTTGTCGGTGGTGTTCATCTGTTCATCTTAAACAAAGAGGGTCAGGAGTAAAAGCAGAGCCAGCTGGGACCAGCCTGCAAGGGGCTAGTCAGAGCCTGCCCTCCCTCCCTGCCAGCGCTTGCTGACAGTGCTCAGTCCTCCTTTGCCTGCAGTGGGCTCAAAGCATCCACCTTAAACCTGGCCAAGGCATGAAGAAATGTGTGTCTTTTCATTACTCAGATGGGCCAAAGGTGAATGAAGTTTGGATCAGATTCTCCCTGCCTTTTGGGATGCTTGGAGGGGCTGTGTGTGCCTGGCCCTTTGGATGAAGGAAGCGGGTTGGGGCCCGGTTGGCTGCAGGGTGGGATCTGCCTCCAAAGGCCCAGGGCTGGGTGCTCCTTTCTGGGTGTTTAGGGCCCTTCTGGTCCTGTAGCAGAGTGTCCCCAAAGCTCACAGCGTCTGGGAGGCTGCTACAGACCTGCTAGCAGCCAAAATTACAAAAATAACTTGACGTGACAAGCGCCGGGACTGCTCCATCCCAGCCCCAGCAGGATGGTAGGCAGCTTCAAAAACCATCTCCCAGGGCAACAGGGTCTGACCTTTTGTTTTGCTGTTGTGTGCTCCGTCACTAGGATAAACAAACACAGCCTGGCCCTGGGGCTTCCGTTCACCTTTCAAGGACCGTGGCTCTGTCACAACCTGTTTGAAAGCCACCCCCGGACCCCAGGAGACACCTGTGTCATGGCAGGGCCCTGGCGCTGCCCATGCCCACACCGATGCCAGGAGCTGCAGGGTTCAAGGACAGGGGCATGGTCTGGCTCCTGGTGCTGGGAATGGACCAAGGGGAAGAGAGTTCGGGTCCAGTTCAGGCTTTTCTGGAGCATGTTCCTTGCAGGCATTAGTGGTGAACTTCTCCCCTTGCGGCTTTTCCTCCCCTGGCCAAGGAACGTGCAAGCCCTGGGTCTCTCCCAGTCCCTGTGCCCAGGGAGACAGGCACATCAACCGCCTGGCACTATGCATGTGTGCAGGGAGCCAGTGGGAGATGCCATGGGATGAACCGATGTCATTGCTCACTGAGTCACAGACTTGTGGAAAAAACTCCAAACCCATCTTGAGAATGTTTCCCCATCCAGATCACACCTCCGTGGCTGGGGAGAGGCTCGAGGGGACATTGGTGGCCACGGCGTCAGTGGAGCGTTGATTGTCGTGGTGCAGCTAAACATCCCTCTAGCTCAGGTCCACACCGGACATTGGAGCGCTCATGCCCTGAAGGTCCCAGCAGTCCCCAGCCTGCTCTGGGCCATCGTCAGCACGGGGACATTTTGGCCGAGGGCTGTGACTGTTTGCTGAGGCAGGAGCGGGCGGTTGTGGGGATGAAATGGGGCAGCGGGTGGGTGTCCGGCTGCCTGGGGCTGGACATGTCTTTTCTTTGCGCTGACGCCAGGCGGCTGCGTCTGTCCGAACAACCAGAGGGATGATTGGCACTAATTATCAAAAAGCTGCAATTCACTATGTGTGTGTGTGTGTGCAACAGAAAGTGGTGTCCCAGGACTGCGCGAGAGCTTTCAGCGGGGAGCCGGAGCATCTGCCTGCACAGCCACACTCAGAGAACATCATCTCCAGCCCGAGCAGAGCCCTTGTCCCGGCTGCGCTCCCCCACTGTCCCCGAAGGGCCTGCGGTGCCCAGCTGGGGACACGCAGGGGCTCAGGGGGATGCTGGAGGACGGTGCTCTCAGAGCCTGATCCCCACACAGGCTGGGGCTGGGCCTGGGGCTTTCTAAACCCAGCTACATGGAGGCGAGAGCAGCAATTCAGCTCCTCTTCAGACATCACAGAAATTCCTCCACGAAGGAAAGTTGTAACTACTCTGGTCCCTAAAACTGGTCTGGCACTGTCCTCCAGCTGGCATGGGCATCCCAGAGTCCCTGCTGCTGGTTAGCCAACCCACGGAGAATATTCTCCGGGGTCTGATAAGGGCTGAGCTGACACCTCAGCTTCTCCCTTGCTCTGTTCCTTGCTCCGCAGCTTCCCACTCTCACAAGGCTCACAAGAGGATTAGGAAGTTAATCCTCTTTGAGTCATCAAGCTCCCTATTGAGCCTAACCGAGAGGCCCAAAAGCTGTGAAGGACAGCGGGGCACCGGCACAAAGCCCCTTTCCTTGGGGGGAGCAGCCCCATTGGTGAGCCTCGGCTGGCCCTGGTGGCAGTGTCCCCATTGCCACCCCTTCCACCCCCCCCCCAGGCCCCAGCCTGTCCCTGAGACTATGGGAGCTAGGCAGTGGTCCCACCAGGCTCACTCCCTCCATCCCACCCTGGGCCAGATCCTGCAGCCTCTTCCACACCGGCTCCAGGAGGTTGGTGGGAGGAAAGCAAAGCATCCTCATGTCCTGGCAGGGCTGACCTGCTGGAAAGCAGCTCTGTGGAGGGGCCCTGGATATCCTGGTGGACGACAAGCTGACCATGAGCCAGCAGTGTGCCCTTGCTGCCAAGAAGGCCAATGGTATCCTGGGGTGCATTAAGAAGAGTGTGGCCAGCAGGTTGAGGGAGGTTCTCCTCCCCCTCTGCTCTGCCCTAGCAAGGCCCTGTCTGGAGTACTGTGTCCAGTTCTGGGCTCCCCAGTTCAAGAAAGACAAGGAAATACTGGAGAGAGTCCAGCAGAGAGCTATGAAGGTGACTGG